ATGAAAGGAAGGGAAATGGGAGGAAAGTTCCTTTACAAATCTTTAACTTTCCTTTTCTCTCAAAATTGGAGAAATTCAACGAATAAAAGTTATACTTATTAATTTTCTTTCTCTTCCCTTCATTTCCTTTCATTAACCAATTATTGGAAGATAAAAACACCTACCTTTCCCTTCTTTTCCTTTCCCTTTCCCTTCCTTTCTCTTCTTTACCTTTACTAATATTGAACCAAACAGAGCCTTAATTTGTATTCCATTCGTCCTTTTTGATGTATCTATTTTTAAAATTTTACAAAAATTAAAGAATTAGGAGTTTTTTAAAATTCATAATGATTAGGAGTACAAAAAATAGAATTGATGCATGTGTGTGTATTTTATTGCTGAAGTTATATTAAAAAAAAAAACCGTAGAAATTAAATCTTTTAATGGCACGCATGTCATTGTCAACTCAATTGATCGGTGTACCTTATTACGTTTTTCAACAAAATTGAAGGGAGAGATTGAGGAATAAAAGTGAGAAAAAATAGGGTATCATGGTCCAAAAGTACAATCCATAAATGGAATAAAATAGAATTAGACACATCAAATTAGGACTCATTCTAAGGAAAATAGGTACGTCATTAAGGGGCGGAGGAATTATTATTTTATCTTATTAGTCGTGATTTTCATAAATCTGTCTTTTTGAACTTATCCGAACTTATTAAATTAGCTTGCTATTATATTTTCTTATATGAATTTATTCACCTAAACGAGGTTTTTGTGGGGTTTTTTTTTTTTTGGTCAATTCCGAGCTTAATTTGGAACTTTAAAGAGACAAAATGATTCCCAAAATCTTACCCGAGTAATTTTTGCAACTGTAAAAAATAATGACATGTAAATTGAGACATTTACATTATTTGCAAACCAAGAATTTTTTTAATAATTTTTTAAAATAATTAATTTTATTTAAATTTTTTAAAAAGAACTAACCATATATCATGACATGTATCATGATCAACCATAATGAATAACAAAGCTAACGACCGTTTGTCACTAAGGGTACTTTGAGGTATTTGAAAAAGTGAAGGGTATTTGACGAATTTTTAAAAATTCGAGGGTATTTGACGAATTTTTAAGAGCTCATGAGTATTTGGTGAATTTTAAAAAAGCTCAAAACCATTTGGTGAAAAAAAATAAAATCCGTACTATAGATGAAGAGAAAGTATGTGTAAATAAAGTGATGCTGTAGCATTTGTGAATTTTTTAAATTATTTAATAATTATTGCAATATTAGGGAAGCGAGAATTTAATGTATTATCTTTAACTGTATATGACAATACAAATATGTTCTATTCCGAATTATGTTGATGATTTGATATTTAAGACTTTTAATTTAGGGAAAATAAACTTGTGTTGACCTGATCCACAATAATATTATCGATAATATTATTGTGGACCTGGGGTTTATACGCAACTGGTGTTATAGTGACCCTAATTTTAACATATTAACCTCAATTTTAATATAGTAACATTTATTAAAACTTGTGTGACCTTTAATATTATTGTGAACCTGAAGTACGATGTAGTGTTGAATATAGTGATTCTAATTTTAACATAATGACTTTTATTATTCATATTGACCAGTACATAAAAAAAATTCATTAAAAAATAAATTAACCTCTTATAATCTTTATAATGCCACAATAGCTTTTATTGCAATATAATAGCCTCTATTTTAATTTAGTGACTTTTTTTTTTATTAATAAACAACCATAGTATCTCTATTGTTAGTGGTCCATAATATCTTAGTGTGAATCAGGTCTATTTAAGAGTTTATAAGACCGACAATTAATAAATTAATAATATCAAATGGTGCATAAAATGTGTCAACAGTATACCCCAGCGTATTTTTCTGAAGTTCAATTACAAAGACCGCTTACTTTAATGATCTGATCAAAGTATTTTTGATCTATTCACTTACAGACTACAGTATTTAACTATTTATGACTAGCTTAAAGTCCAAATTGCTGGCTCAGATTAGCTCAAACTCATTTGATTTGTTCTGTATGGTTGTCTCAAATTTTTGTTTATTCATTGACATTGAGTTAGTCAATGAACACAAAACGAAATTTGATTTTGTTTATATTATGTAGTCAATGAATTTGATTTGGTCAATAATCTTTTATATTGTGTAGAATTGTTTATAATACAAGATAATTGACTTGATTTTACTAAATAATTTTTGCAAAATCAAATACACGTACAAATAAAATTTTATGATAGATCCGTATTAACCATGGATATCAAAATAAACGCGATATGCATCATTAACTTGTATTTTTGTGATAATAGTTACAAAGTATCAACTTTTCTTGTGTGTGGCCGGCCACACTGTGTGGCCACTTAAAGTAACCCTATAATACTAACCAAGTAACCCTTATAATAGTGACTGACTGAGTAACCTTTATAACACTTACTAAATAACCCCTATAACACTGATTGAATAACCACTATTACCCTAACGAAATAACCCATATAATGACTAGCGATACGGTGTGGTCAGCATAAAAATTTGTGACAAAGTATATATAAAACTATGAGAAATTTGAAGGAGATAGAACATGGTGTGTTTTTAATTCGTAAAACAATTTCATTAGATATATTCATTTACTTGGCTTGAAAAGGGAAAGGAAAGTGGTCAAAAATTGATGAAACCACATTAATATATTGTAAGAAAGAGGAATATAGGATAAGTGCCATATCGATCTCTTGTCTTTGTTAAAAAAAAAATGAAAAACACATGACATTATGACATGCAAATTTTCTTTTCCTTTCTTCCTTTTTTCTTTCAATATTTTTATCTGTTATTTAAGTGACAAAAACTTAAATATTATGTACATCCGATTTACTATGATATTAATTACATCTAAAGAGTTTATAGTAACTTTTGACCTTCTTTTGGGTAACTTTTTAACCTGATATAATTTTGAAGTATATAAACCTATAAACAATGAAATAAGTACTATAAGGGTAATATATTTATTTTCTCTTATTAAGATTTAATTTTTACTTATTTTAAGAGAGTAATTCTATTGATAAAACATAGATTATTTTGAGTACATTTTGAGCTTCCTTTTTTTTTTTTTTTTTTGAAATTAAACTAATTTAAACCCCTTTTCTTTATTTTATTTTTTATTTTTTATTTTTATTTTTTTTCTTTGTTTTCTCTATATATGAGAGTCTTCTTTCCAATTTTCCAGATTTTTGATACTCATCTATGGATGAGATTTGTATTTAGGGTTTTTATAATTAGAAAGGTGATCTGGATTCACATGGGTTTAGGTCTTGTCATCAACTCTATAATCAATACATCAGCGCGGGATACAAATGTCTCTACTTGGAAAGATGTGAAGATATCGCTCGAAAATCACTGCTTGCCTGACACTTGAAGCGGTGGAGTATAAGCTGTGCCGAAAGTCGTTATGATATTGATTGTAAAAGTTGATCTAGATATGTTCTTTACAAGTCTCTTCAAGTTTTACAATCAATATCATAACAACTTTTCGGCATAGCTTATACTCCACCGCTTCAAGTCTCTATTATTATTTTAGATGTCATACGACTAATTATTAATGAAATTGCTCTTCCCTGTAAAATAAAATAAAATAAATAAATAAATATATATATATATATATATATATATATAGGATTAGGATCATGTAAAAACAAGTCTTATGGTAAAAACTGAAAACAATTAATCCTAGCCGTAGATTATAATCTAGCGGATGACATCTAATGTATATATCCTAATTTTGTCTCTCCTCCCGCGAAAACACTTTCTCTCTCATCTGTTATTTTCTTCCTCCTCTTCCTTCTCTCTTCACTTTCTCTCTCCTAATTTCTCGACAATTTTTCCCCAAAGTTTCACGCTACTTTTTCAAACACCGCTGCAATTACTTTGATTTTTAGCAATTTCTCAGCTCTACGATCTATTATCAGGTGAGTTTTTTGTGGTAATTTCTCTATTTTTGCACGATTTGAGGTTATTAGGTTTCTGAAATTTTGTTTGCTTGAATTTCATGAGTATTTTTTTGTAGATTCAACCGGAAATTTAATGTCTATTGTGTTTTTCGTGTATGATTTGTGTTTAATTTTGTAATTTTGCAAGTTTTTTTTTTTATTTATTTTTTCGATTTGATTTGATTTTTTGATTTTCAACTTAAGTTCGTTTTAGTAGGAGTATTTTTTAAATGTATTTTGTTTAATTTTGCTTAATTTAAGTAAACTAGTTTTTTATTTGTATTTTTGCTCAAAATTCTACTTTTGTTGTTGTTCTTTACCTTTTTAGTAACACGATTTTTGTGTTTCCGATTTTAGTAAATTAAGTTTGGGTGATTTTAGTAACATGCATGTTTGATTATGACGAGAATAGCTCAAATTAAGATAATCACGTTTCAATTTTAGATGATAAGAAACTTGATTTGATTTGAATTGAGCATAATTTTGTTTTTGTTGATTTCGATTTGTGCTTATTTTTGCGGATATATAGTTCGATTTTAGATTTCGAATTTCAGAGATTTAGTGTTCGAATTTAGGGTTTGATTTTAGCTGATTTTTGCGGATTTTGATTTTGATGTTGAGGAGTTCAGTTTTGTTGAGTTGCTAGATGCTGGGGGAGAAGTGACTGGTAGGATTGTGTTTCTCCTTGATGAGTCATTAGCTATTTTGAGTGTCTCTTCTAAAAAAAGTTGTGTATGGGATATGAAAAAGGATGGTAAAGGAAAGGAGACATGGAGGATATGGTTTTCAGGGGACTTAAATTTAAAGGCTTCTGATTTTATCAAAGATTGCACTAACAAAAATAATGTAGTGATTCTTCATGTTAAGAACACTGATGATTTTTGTAGTACACTCTGGAATCGCATTTTATTATAACAACAGGAATCAGCAATTGTCTTGTTGGTTGCCTTAGTTTTGGTTTTGGTTGTTTCCTAGCTTGTATGTTGCTAGCTTAGTTGTACCAGATGGTGATTGTGTTTCATGTGTCTGGTTTTGGAGGGGTGTTGGACTATGTTTTTTTTGAAGTTTTGTTTTAAAAAAAGGTCACTATGCTATAAAAAGAGGCAACTACTTTGGTTTCTTTTGTTTATCTTTTCGTATGTCTTGTTACAGGGTGCAACAAGGATTTTCATTCGATTTGGATTAGATTATATTCCTATGGTGAGAACTAGAGGTGGTGCGACTTTTAAAAAAAGGAGAGGCCTTCGTAGTTCAACAGGAGGAGTTAAATTGAAAGATACAGGAGGTATGATGAATGTTTGATTTTTGGATTATTAACCTTAATATTCAATTTTTGAATTATATGATGTTAATTTTTTGAGTTGCTAACTAGCTTATAGAGAGAAGGTACGTGCGAAAATAAGGATGGTAGTATAATTTGGAAATGATGAGTTTGTATATAAGAGAATAACAATTATATAAATGTAGGTAACATGATCAGCAAAGAACAAATCAGAATAATTGTTAAACAGACATCATTTATTTTATAAAGTTGTCTAAAATTGTAAAATGAGTGTATTCTTATGATAAATGAGTGTATGCTTATGATAAAGTACCACATACCATGCATACGTCATCTTGACAGATTTTGTCTCCTGCTTGTGATTCGGAGCCTGCCAAGATTGGCAAACCATGATATAAATTGGGTTTTAGGGGCTGCCAATTTATTCCAAACAACATAGGACCAATGAAAAAACCTGTAATGCTTGCACCTTGTTTATTGAGTACTTAAGCTTTAAGTTGCAGTGGTTTATGTAACATTTTGGCTATAGCTCATTACTTTTTTGCATTAACTCTTCCATAACCAACACACCTGTTGTGGTGGCTTGCATTCCAGCCAATTTCCATCTTATAAATACATAGTGTGGGCCCAATTGACCCATACAGAGTTTTATCCAAAGCATGTAGTCTATAATTCCTAAACCCCTAGCCTTGTTTGGTTTATACAATGGTTATCCCAGGCTACATAGCCTAGCCTCTAACATTGAGTTCCTTTCATCCCATAAGAAAGCTCTGCAAATGCCATTGATCGTCTTTTAAACTCCCTTTAGGGAATATGATAAAGATTTGAGCCCTACAAGTGTGTAGACTCATGCGGACAATGTTTATCGTGCACCTTGCCTCAAAAGACAAACGCTTACTACTCCATTTGCTAATTCATGTTGTTATTTGCTCACACTTACCCGCCTTCCATTTCTGTGAGTTATAGATATCCCTGGAATTTACCTTAATCTAAAGATGACAATTATGTAATGCAGTAATATCATAATCTTGCATACCAGAAACATACATTTACGTCTTTTCTTTATTTCTTTGATTGCAGACCTGAAGTATCGGCTAATCATTGAAATGAATTCTAGCTGAACTTTTTTCCTATTACTCAATGTTTTGACAAATGTTGTTTATAGTATTGAATAGAAGCTTCAATGACAGCACTCAATAGGTTTAGACTTCATAGTACCAAGCCCCAACTATTTTAATAATTGAGCCTTTTTTTTTTTTTTTTTAATGAGTTTGACTAGCCAATAGACTCTGAATGGGTGGAAATTTTTTATATTTTAGCCTTCATCAAATATCCAACAACATTTAGCCTTTTGCTGATGGAAACTACCTTATTGATAATGAATTCCAATGTGGTCATGATACTGATAATTCTTTGTAAAAAAGCTTCTATTCAAGCTGCATCAAAGTTCTTTTAAACATACGATGCTAGAAATTGGCCCAAGTCCAAACCTAGTGACAATTTGATGCTGCACAGAGCTCTATCACCTGATTTGGTTGTATATGGTGTTATTATTGATGGCCTTCTAAAGAATGAGAAGGTAAAATTGTAAAATGATCGCTTAACAGTCTGTTTAATTATTTGGTGGATGCAATATCTCCATTTCCACATGTAGCAGGGCCTTATGTAGAGGTAGAAATTAAAGACAAAGACTCCAACTCAATCGGTAGAACATTGGTGAATTAATCAGTCATGGATTCAATGTTAGGGAAGGTTCCCTAGCAAAAGTCTCCGTATTATATGATGTTAATTTTTTAGCAATACTAACTAGTAACACCTGTTAATAGACTAGTTGCTTCTATTATGATAGTCTCCTAATACTATAGAATGTAGGTCCCTATATTAATATAAAAGTTACTATATTATTAGTTCTCTATGTAACTGAAAAAGATCACTATATCAATGACAATGATTATTATTTTTAAGTTATTAGTTTGCTATATTATAATTATTTGCTAGATGAAAATGAAGATAATTGTATATATAACTATATGCTTGCGTGTTTTTGGTATGTTTATTCTTATTTAGGTATGATTAATGTTTGATTTTTGGATTATTATACCTTAATATTCAATTTTTTGAATTATATTATGTTAATTGCCACCAATACTAACTAGTAACACCTGTTAATATACTACTTGCTTCTATTATGATAGTATCCTAATACTATAGAATGTAGGTCCCTATATTAATATAAAAGTTACTATATTATTAGTTCCCTATTATTATAATTTTTTTCTAGATGAAAATGAAGATAATTGTATGCTTGCATGTGTTTAGCATGTATCAATCTCAATGATGAAGATGAAGAGCATATTGATGGTGGAAGCAAAATGATTGATGATGATACTAACAGAGATAAAGATGCTTGTATTGAAAAAGGATTGAAAAATAAAGCTATCACTAAGAAAAAGAAACCTTCTACTATTGAGAGTGATATACCTTTGTCAACTGTGATGGAAGGAAAGAAGGGGAATGAGTCTTCTTCTTCACATGCTATTGTTTTGTCAGCTAAGAAGAGAAATTTGGATGAAAATGAAGGTCTTAAAGTGAAGAAAGTGAAGGCAAATAAGGATAAGAACATTGTGATTCATAGGCAAGAATCTGCAATCATAGATGGTGATGTACATATGTAAGTAAATATTTGTTTCTTTTTTTTGAAGTTTTGTTTAAAAAAAAGGTCTCTATGCTATAAAAAGAGGCAACTATTTTGGTTTCTTTTGTTTATCTTTTCGTATGTCTTGTTACAGGGTACAACGAGGATTTAAAACACGTTGCAGGCCATTTCATTTAGTAGAGATGATTAAAAAAATTTTAGATGATCAAATCAAGGTTGTTAAAGAAATTGGCTTTGGAGGTTTGTTATCTTTGAAGGTGAAACGAACTGCAACTGATATGCTATCATGGTTGGTAGATTGTTTTGATCATGGTAGTTGCATGTTTACTATTGATAGTAAAAAAGATTTTGTTGTGACTGAATTTGATGTGTATGATGTTTTTTGCCTTCCTTGCAAAACATCTAAGAAAGTTGAAGAAATTTCTCGTTGTGCTAATGTCATCAACCCTGATTATGATTTAAAGGTTAAATGGAGGTCTCATTTTGGTCTTATGGGTGAGAATGATCAGATTCCTTTGGGTTTTTTGGAATCTAAGATCCCTTTACTAGTAGATGGCGGGGAAGAATTCAGACAACTTTTTATCATGCATGCTTTTTCAAGTTTTTTAGCACCTACGTCCAACAGAACTGTAGATTTGAGAATTGTAAAATGTTTGGTTGATGTTAATCAAATAAGAACTTATGATTGGTCAAAATATGTCTTAGATAGACTTTGTGAAGCTGTGAAGAGCTATAAAGAAGGAAATATAGAATGGTTTTGTGGTTGTGTTTTGATGTTAGAGATTATCTATTTTCATCGATTGAGGTTTAGGAATGTTGTGTTAAATTCTACAATACCTTTATTTCAACATTGGACTGATGTGGATATAAGAGATAGAATTAGAAATGAAAAGTTGTCCAAGGGTTTTGGATGTGGCATTCTTGAGTTTGATACATATCTAGTGAGTGAGAAGTTGCAATTTGAGGATGGACAAGTTGTTTGTAATCAATTCAAGGAAGCTCCTGTGAATCAAACTTCTAGAAAAGAATCTGTTGTTTATGAAGGTGTCCGTAGCAATGTTAAGGGTGTTATTCAGTTTGAGCTACCTGCTAGTTCAATGTCTAATGAGGAAATCCGTTCAATTGCTATTGATGTAAGTATTTTACCCTTTAATTCTATCTGTGTGGTTTTTTTTTTTTATTTTTTTTATTATTATTATTTTACTAAATCTAAGTGCTACATTTTTTTTTCACAGGAAGTTTATGAGAAGTTTTTGCTCATGAAAAGAGATTTAGAAGTGGTATCTAACTTCTATATGAATGAGTTGAAAGTCTTATTTCAGACTCGTAAACCTAATGATGGTTCAACTTCGACACCTCCAATGTCCCAAACTGATTTATTCTTTATGGATCCTCGTGTTCATGAAATTGTTGATGAGATTGTGTCTCTTGTAAATTGGGTAAGCAAAGTGCCTAATGGTTTGGATGATGATGATATTGATGATAATGGTGCACCTGCAAAAGAGATTAATGTTGTAGTCGGTGAAGTTCTAAGGATAGGTTTTGAGCATGTTTTGAGTAATGGAAAATCTAAATGATCCCTTGCTATGGATGTTAGTCTCTTTGGTGATAAAGTTACATATGTAACTCAATATATGAATTCAAGTAATAAGGATATGAAGGTTTTGGATGCAGTTGTCCAGGAACTTGTTGACTACTGCATTAGTGATTATCATGGTTTCGATCTCAAGTAAGTCATGTCATGATTCTTTTTATTATTTATTTTTCAAATTTTAATAATAAGTGACTATGCTAATATACATGTGTCTTTTTATTTCCTTGTACAGTGAGGTGTTGGTATCTTTTGGCAAACCATTTGAGATTACAAGGAATGAATTCCTTTCATTAGGCGAACTGACTATTGCTATATCTTCTGTTATTATTGATTGTTGGGCTTTGTTGCTTAATGAAAACCAGAAGAGTAGTGCACATGGACCTCAAAAACTATATTTTTGGTGTTTCTCAAAGTGTAAGTATCTTTCAGCTATTCAGTTACTATATCATTATAATGGTAGTTATTCATTATAAAAAATTCATAAATTAATTTCACTATGTATTGAAAACAGTCACTATGATTCATAAATTAATTTCACTATGCAATGAAAACAGTCACTATGTAATTCAAGTAATTACATTTAAGAAAAATAACTCTACCTTCTAATTTTTTTTAATATTTATTAATGTTTGATCTTTTTTAGGCTTTTTTACTGGAAGTTGCAAACACAGATAGTAACACACAAGACATTGACAAGCTATTTGACATTTGGTCAAGATGGTTGTTCATTCCTTGCAATGATTTTGATATTGCAAATGTTGAGTTGGTAATACATTGCAAATGTTGACAATCATTTTTCAACTAAGTACTTTTATATTAAGTTTTTCAAGTTTAATAGTTGTTTATTTATTTATTGCAGATATTTATTCCTATACTCTTGAATGGGCACTTTTTCCTAATTGTTGTGAATTTGAAGGAAGAAAAGCTTCAGTTCATTGATAATATGAGTTATGATACAAAGTACATGAGTGAGGTTGAGAAGTTCTCTGATGTTCTGGTAAAAATATGATATTTTGGATTTTATTTGTATTTTTCTAGTTAGGATATGCTTCATGGAACCTAAAGTATTAATTTATTTTGCCTAGAGTGATATGCTGAGTATTTTTCTTGATCAACGCCTTCCTCAAAGTAATGACTCGGTGAAGAACATGATTGAGTATACTTTGGAGTCACCTTATGTAAATTGGAAGTCTGGAAAACAGAAGAATAATGATAGTGGCATTTATACTATGGTCAGCATGCTTTACTTTGATGGAGCTGATGTGTTCAACTGCGATGTTTTGAAAACGGTTATCTCGTCTCATTTTTTTATTTGGCTTTCAATTTTTATTATATTAACTATTTCCTCCATGGAATTTAACTAGCTTTTTTATTCTAATTTTTGCTTAAATTAATATATTAGGTTTCAACTAGACGGGCATTGAGAGCTCAGATTGCTGCTACTCTGGTATTGTCTGATATGAACATTGTCAGAGATGAAGTTCTTGAAAAGCTATCTGAATTCAGATTAATAAGGAGTGAAGTTGCAAAAGATGTTTTTGATGGGATTAAGAAGAAAACAAAGCAAGGTAAAAAGGAAAAGAAAGTATAGGCAAACTAACAAATATGTGGATGAAGTTTTTTGCTCGGAAGTATTTGTATTTTGCAAAGAAGTAGGAAATCTAATGTAATGATGTAGTTTGCATCAACAAATGGATAATCTAACAAATTTGTATAAGTGTTAATATAGAACAATATGATATGTTCCAGTTCATTCAAAGCTTTTGAATTGGTGGTATTGGTAGTTCTTTTGATATGTAATCCTTAATTGACATTCAAGAAGTTTAGTGAAATATATATTAGTTATAAAATTGGTGCCTATGGTATAAAAAAAGGTATCTATATTATTTAGAAAGGTATCTATGTTATTTAAAAGGTTTCTATATTATAAGGTCACTATGTATTTAAAAAGGTAGTTTTGTTATTTAAAAGGTTTCTATATTATAAAGTCACTATGTATTTAAAATGTTATTAGTTCAATGTGTTATATATAATTAAGTTATAATGCAAAATTGTCACCATATTCATTATTCTATTTTGTATACATATGTGACAAGTTTTCAAGTACCTATGATAAATATTTACCTAAAAATGCCTAACTTTTTTTTTGTCTTAAAAAAGAAAATAAAAACTTGAAAAAGATATTATATGAATTTTTATAGTCACTATGTAAGTAAAATGACATTATATGACATAAAAATTTCCAATTGCTATGTGATGCAAAAAGATCACTATGATATGGAAGAACGTTACTATGTGATTAAGAAGATTTTTATAATAGTCTGTCTCTATTTAAATAAAAAGTCGAAATGTAAGGTAAAAGTATCGTATTTATATTAATCTATTCTTAAGCTATTCAATTAGTATATCAATTAAAAGAACGAGCCCCTCCTTCACTAACTTTTTATTGGCTTAATCGATGTGGGTTAGAAAAATTGTTAAAATCTGAGTATTTTTTTATAACGGTTGGTATATCATAATAAAGGTCATCATATCCTTAAAAAGGTTACCATAGAATAAGGTTCCAATACGATGAAAAAAAATCACTATGACATTATAAACACGTGCTATAATATAAATTGAAGTTATTATATGCCAAAAGGTCACTACATCAAAATAACAATATAAAGGTCAATAAAAAGTTTTACAATAAAAGGTTACCCTATCAATAAAATTTTAACAATAAAAGGTCCCTGTTTAATATATGTGAAACAATAACAGTCACTTTATCAATAAAAAGGGCACTATAGCAATATATTATTTCTCTCCTCTCATCTCCTCTATTTCAGCACTAGGCCGTCTGATGTTCCTTCTTGTAAATATGAAGTCGTTTTGCAGCCTTTCTACTCTTCTTTGAAATCCTGAAATCATGTACATGAACATATAAAGTGAAAATCCAGTGGGAAGTAAACATAGTAAAAAATTTATTTATTTTTTGTACAAAAATACCTCATTCAAGTTCGATTTTTTTTTGCGGACAATTCCGACTATCATGGTTTGTTCTCTGACCACAAGTTCTACAAAGTCTATCTTTCCTTTGGCTTTCCTCAATAGCTATCTCTTTGTCAGATTTTTCCTTTTCCCACTACCACTACCTTTGTTGGAAGACTTGTTTGGAGGAAGAATATCAACAACTATGTCATTAGATCCAATAAATAATTCGATGTGTTTATTTTTTGCCTCACGTTTATCAACTGGACTTATAGAATCCAAGGCTTTCATCTCATTTTCAAAAGATATTAGCTTAGACAACAATGACTCAAGGCATTCAACTTTCTCCTCACAAATACTTACACATGAAAAAAACCTGCACCATAAATCACCAACTAGCTTTTGCTTCTTATCCTTCTCTGCCCTATCAAGCAAGTTGTTTAAGCCAAAAATTGGTTTCTTCATAGCTTCTTTAGTCCAACGATGCAAAACATAATGCCTTGGAATCTCAATCAAGAACTTTCCTTTCATGACAAAGAGAATGTGACGACATAATATTCCAACAGATTCAAACATTTTACAAGAGCATGAAGCAACATTAGAACACAAGACATATGTGACATGATAGCTTTTTTTCCTTGTGTTGTCGACAATTCTATATTGCTCAATCCCTTTTTCTTCTTTGATGGTAATACTACTTATACCACAATTGTACAAAGCATGCTTGAATTCCTTTTGGAATATGTAAAATACATTATGAGTGTAAACAAATGCAGCATGCTTTTCCAAGTGTAGGGGGGTGACAAGTTGGGATGTGTAGTTTTCGATGTAGCGTTAAACTTATCTTGTGTGTGCCTTTGAGCATCTATTGCAGATTCATAACGAAACCACAACTCAACCAATAACAAACGCTAATTGGTGAAATTAGTGAAAAAGCTATATTCACTCTCTGATCTTTGAGTTGACCTTAAAATCCCACCCATAAAAAGGTTACTAAAGTAGGAAGGAATCCACATATTCCTTATATTATACATATTTTTAAACCAATCTTCATTCACTAAATCAAATTCAGACATCACAAACTGCCAACCAATTTCTAATTCTTCTGGTTCAAGGTCTCTATTCCAAACAACAGAGTTCAATTTATGAAGAAAGTCAGTTTCTAAGCATAATTTGGGTCCTACCTTTTGTGGCACTTTTTTCATAATGTGCCACATACAAAACCTATGTTTTGCCTTATCAAGAACTTTTTCAATTGCCACTTTCATCGCAGGGTCTTGATCTGTCATGATACAGGTAGGATGACAATTATTCATTGCCTTTAAGAAAGTTTCAAATAACCATTCAAAGGATTCAATATCCTCCTTTGCAAGTAAGCCTATCCCAAAAGTCACACACTTACCATGGTGATCAACACCCGTAAATGGGGAAAAAACCATAGAGTATTTGTTGGTGTCAAATGTTGTATCAAATGTAATCATATCACCGAACAACGAATAATTTTTTCTACTAATTGCATCTGCCCAAAATACTCTTGTCAAGCGTTGATGTTCATCCATACAATGCTCAAAGAAAAAGGCACCTTTACTCTTTTCAGATTTTTCTTTCAAATTGTTTATAAACATCGAAGCATCTTTCTCTTGTATGTAAGCTTTCAAATCTCGATTAAAGTTCTTGAAATCATTCAATGTTGCACCTATATTATCATAGCTACCAAGATGTTCTTTCATCAACTTATAAGACTTGTTTGGACCAATTTTCAATCTAGAGTTGTCAAAAATGAATTTTTTCTGGCCAATTTTAAGGTTTCCAACATTTGCCAAAAAATTCATTGTGTTGGGAGAAGCAAGATTATGGCTATGAGATTCATGAAAGACATAAACCATCCATTTTCCATCTGAACGTTCTCTAAACCCAATCATTGCATTACATCCAACAAGATTTATAGTTCTTTTTCTAGCTTTACGATTTTCATCTTTCTTAGAAACTTTTGCTTTAGTTTCACCATCCTTCGTAAACCCTTGTTTATTACAATGTAAATATTTCAAGTAAACTTTATCACTATCTTTAATTCTCTTTTCAGTACCTAGTATTACCACAAACCCACCAAATCTAGCATATTGCTTATAAAAATCAACACCTTTAAGTAAGGAATCAAAAAGCATACCAAGTGTAGGCTTTAGTTCAGGGGGACAACACGGTATAAACTCTTTTGTTCCTCTAGGAGTGTAACACACACTTGGGCCCTTTAGTGACGGTAAGTTTTCAGCAACATTGGTAGTTGTAGATGTATTTGAGCAACTACCTTCTTCTAACTCCTCTTGCATTATCTGCATATAATAGCAAATATATGGTTTAAAATGGGTA